TGTCACATGATCCATTTTTCTTCTGTAGATGTGTAATTATGTGCAAATTAAAGGTGGGAATCTTTCAAGCAAGAAATGGCCTTGATATGGGCAACCATACAGCTCAACCTCCACAGAGTTCAAAGGGGTTTTGGGTTGTTGTTGTTCAGTCAATGCTGTTAAATGTCTATCATTTCAAACCACATAAGTTCAATAACACAAGCAGCTGCAAATGACAGTCGGGATCTCTCTCAGTTAGGCTGCTTCCTCAACTGACGGTCAAGCAATCCATTATCCTCAATCACACAATCAAACGTATAAAAAAATAAGCGTACTTCTCCTGCAGCAAAAGACGATCATGGTCATATCAAAACACGCAAAGTGTCCCACCTACAGGTCTGGGAACCGATGCTAAGACATGTTTGACTTCAAAAGCTCCAACATTTGGTACACAAACATCCGAGCTTGACCAGTCGGATCATCTGAAGATGAGTCTATGGGGGAAGTTAGATGCAAAACCATTTTTTATTAATTTCACCTTCCAGTTCAGTAAAAGTGTTAATACTTGACGGAAGCGACCTCGGTTAAAATAATCAAATAAACTTCAACGATCACAAGAAATATGGTATTTGAGTTAGCCACTAAAGTCATATAAGGATCTGTTGGGTGACCAGAGAGATCCTATCAACTTCAACAACCCTTAAGTTTGGAGTCAGGTATCTAAACAGACCTTTAAAGGCCTGGTGAAGGCCTAGAGCCCATAGATGGGTAAAGGGCTGTCATAATGTTCAAACTACTCAATGTAAAGCTTTCTTTAATCTGACAGCCGCTCCTTTCCTCTATTACTATGGTGACACTCTGGAGAATATGGAGCTTCTCTGCTTTTCTGCCTCCTCCAATCAGCAGCAGGCATCGTCAGGGTCAAGTGAGGACAGTCAAATTGTGAGGATGTCCAAATAAGGGTGGCTGAGGAGGAGAATGGGTGTAAAGGGAGGTGTTATTTAGTCGACATCTGTGAGGGTGAGAGTCTCTCTATGAATATGGAAACTCCCCAAATTAATTTTGAAGAAGAGAATAAGCAGCTATGGTTGTGACTTGCTACACATAGCAGGAAAGCCCTAGTGGGGCTTCCTAGTTGTTGAAAAAAGGATGTGTTGTGGGTTTACTTTGAGGCACAGGGATGTTGTTGGTGGGATTTAGAGGTTTTCTCCAGGCAGGGGTTCAGGCCAACGTTTCTTTGATCTGCTGAGGCGCCCTGAGGACGGCGCAGCCTGCTGTGAACGAAGCGGGTGGGTGGAGGTGTAGTCAAGACATGAAACCAAGGTTAGACATGAGGACACAGCTCTGCATAGCATCACATTGTTTTAATGAGGATGTGCCAGATGAGATCAATATGATAGGCAGTTTGATTTGTAAATTATAACAGTGCACTCACTCTGGTACACTGATTAGAACGGTAGTGTAGCTGGAAAGCAGTGCAAGAGTGTCATAATACCACTATTTTCATCTTATAAGCTAATATTTCAATGTTTGCATCATTATGTAGCGTCTTATAGCAACTTTAAACCGCTCTATGCTCTGCTTCAGGGAACATTTTTTGGCTTTGCTTTGTTTGCAGAACTCGGCCAGTAGAGCAAGGCTGGAGAAGCATCAGGCAGGAAGTGGCCGTTTTCTGCTGCAGGCGCGGCATTTCAATGCCGCATTCAGGTCTGCACTCTCACCCGGTCAGTGACGGATGTGAATCGTCCTTTTTCCACCTCCATTCTGCGGCTGTTCTGCTAGAGTGCTTCAGGTCATTATTTTGTTGGGCGACCCATTTTTTGGTCCAGGACGATTGATGGCATAATGTGGCATTTAGGAACGCACTGATAAGCCTCAACGTTCACCGCTTTTCTGAGTCCAGTGGTTTGCAGCTGCATGGGGGGTTTGAGTCTTTTGTATTTCTGCAACATCTGGAAAAATAAATCACCCCCAAAATGCAATTTACAGTTACTTGAATAAGTGTTTTATTCCTTATTATTGTGGGAAATAGTGGTGAAATACGGAAAGGTAAGAGAATTTTTAACTTCTTCACCATTCGTCACATTGCACCTTCAAACTTTAATGTGTTTTGGGGGACTTTATACCACAAATAAACACAAAGTAGTGCCAAAATGTAAATTTGGAAGAATTTCCAAACGTTACGCAAGTAAGAATAGGAAAAATGTGGGCCTTTTTTTAAGTAAACGAAGGGAAGAAAACCAAACATGTGATTTAAAATGAGGGGCAGGGAGAGTAAACAAACAGGAAGGGTGTGATATAATACAGAGAACATCCGATGTATATTTGCAAATGCAGCACAGAGTTGGTGGGCTGCGGGTGGAGCTGCGAGGGGGAAATGTCACTTGTCTCTGCTGTTTTAAGTCTGTCTCCACTTACAACAGCCCTATAAAACTAATAATGTTGTGCAGATGTAGACGTTTTAGCCGTGAGCCAATAATATGGAGGACGCAGTATGCGGGGAATGCCTTTGATGTTGGCTTTATAAAGCATACGGACGCTTTGATGATTTTGCTGACATTTCCAGGAGACTTTCAAAACTGGAGTAGGCCTAATCAAATCAGTGTGCTCTCTCTCTGTTTAAGGTTAGGTAGCATGAATGCGGTCTGCCGCTTGGGGGTTTGGGGTTTCTAATGGTTTTGAGATGAGGAGACATTTTGTCTAAGTAGTTTTTGAATGAATGGCAAGGTGTTTTGATTTTCTGCAGAGATGGGCAAAAGTAACTACATTTTTACACATGAATACACACAAAAAACATGTTTTACATCTTAACACTGTGTGGGAAGACATATATTTCTGCTAAGTCTGCATGCATACCATAACACTGATATCTTGTTGCATCGCAACTAGGAGTTAAAAGTATTGTTTTGCTTTAAAAATAAAAACTTACTTCCAGCACTTTTCAGCTGATGTAAAAAGGATATGAAGGCGCTTTTTAAACTCTTGCATATTGGTAAATATAGGTGGAAGATGTGTTTGGCACTTTGGGATTAAAGTTGTGACAAAGAGTCTAACAGCATTTCTGCTAAAAGAAATTCTTCAAATCAAACAAATTTTAACATGCTTCAAAAGAGATGTGATTAATTACGAAACTTTCTAGTCAATTTCACACATCATCGTCTGTCAAATTTGAAATAATTTAATAAATAGGAATTGTCTGAATTCTTGATGTATGCTAAAAGATCTCAGAAATCCAAGAACAGAGGAGAAAGAAAGTCACTGGCATCCGTCGGTCTCGTTTAAGGCTTTAGGACTCCAAAGCACATTGGGAGAAATAATCCAAAAATGGAGGAGAAAACAAACAGGAACAGATGTGAACCTTCCTAGAAGTATCCAGTCAACCAAAATTACTTCAAGAGTGCAACCAAAACTCATCCAGGAAGTCACAAATAAACCAAGAACAAAGATGCACTCTACTACAAAAGGGTTCAATCCATTAGAGTTTGAAACAAATAGGAAATG